TAGAAAACTTTAACTGGTTATTATAGTCGATATAAATAAGTTTTGTTACTAAATGATTTTATTCAAAAATAATGTAATATTTTTATAGACTAATAAGTACCTTATAAAAATGTATAGGCAAATATGCGTTTATATCTTTTTTATTTTATGAAATTTCAAATTCATAGTGCAGTTGTAGTGATCACAAGATTTCAAACAGAATGAAATATAAAAGGAATAGAACAAAGAAAGAAAAGAAAAAAAGTAAAATAAAAGCCTGAAGCAACCGGACCCGGAAATATTCTTGTCTTAGCATCCTTGTGTTCTTTTCCTTAGGAAGTGGGTCGTTTGTTCAAGATGGATTTATTTTTATTTCTCTATATTTATAACAATATTGTATCAAAGTTAAGACTACAATTTTGTTCTTTAAATTAGAGTATGTTTTACATTGCCAGATACAGATGTTAACTCGCGCTTAAATCACTTTATGGAGCCTTTAGTAGATTTATCTTAAACATTGCAATTTAAAACAAGTTATCACTTTCATCCTAATAATTTTTGGCGATCCATAGCATTAAAAAAAGATGGGACAACAATGTGTTTTGTATTAAATTTTCGGCAGTGGAATTCCACGGTTATACTAATGTCATACACATATTAATTCCTTCATATAAAAACAATCAGAAAATAAACATCGTCCCTTAGTCAAAGGTAATCCTGACAAGTCCCTGCCACTCTCGTTATATTTCCCAGTGGACTTTTCTCTAAGCTTCCGTAAGTTACTCGTCGCAAAAATAAACTTACAGATCATTTTTTGGAGTTATTAGAAAAATATCTTTATATTACTCGTATTTGGTACTTGATAAAGTAGTATATAATAGAAACATTGATAAAAAAACGTCGAAATTCTTATTACTATTTAAGTGATATGAGTTTTTAAATCAAGCATTTTTTTCGTTTTAACCGTGGGTTCTGACCCTGAAATCTCCGTTTAAAACATATCGTCAACCCTGTAACCTTTGACAAAACAGAGATAACAATATATTTTAAACGGAGAAAGATTTTGGACTCAGAAATCCACGATAAATCTAACAAAATAAATGTCTTTTGTCAGTTCAATATCTCTGGTTTTACATAAGCTTTAAGTTATGTAATCAAGAGATAATCATCACCTGCTTACAGGTTTTTAAGTAAACTAAAAAGTAGGTAGATACACCTGTTGTCTTCTTTATTAACTCATAATAAAAAACAGATACACCTGCTTTGCGTATAAAATAAATTACCTACTATAGTTTGAATCCGTTTCTACAGAATTCACGTCGAAAATATTTTGTAGAGTAAGGGACGCTCTTAATCTAAACTGTTGGAGTATATATCTTGTCTTATTAATGTTATAAATGTTAATGTTTGGATGGAGGGATTGATGAATGTTTGTTTGAAGGTATCTTTAGAATGGCTGCATCGATTTCGCTGCGATTTGGCATAGATATAGTACATAGTCTGGTAGAACACAACGACTACTTCGCGCGGCCTGTGGACGACTAGTGTAATATTAAAAATAAAATAACGTTTCGCGAACATGATGTATTTGTGATGCTTATAACGCAACAGTGAATCTTAAAACACGATTATATACAGTTTTGGTTAGAAAATAAATAATTTCATAACAATTTTAATTTAATGTCCTTGAATTCAAAAAGCAGGTGTTGTTTTCGTTTACAATTTATATAAGGACTGCATATATTTATAAGAGATTTGGCCGGGGGAGATCCATTGTAGTAACCCTCTTAGCCACCCTCTTGGCAAGGGTAAGTTCGATAGAGCTTCGAGCTTCTAGCGTGTAACTCGCAGCATGTAAAAGCTCGCTTCTAAAACTATCCAACGTTTACGAGTCAACTTTCAAGCACATTTTAGTGTTAAGAATATTTTTAGCTATAACTTTGTAGCCGTTTAGCCTTTCAGTGCTTTAGGTTGTGTTAAATTTGACTATGATTTATTTATTAAAGATCTCAAACAAGTAGCTAAAGTTACAAGTATATTACTCTTTACATACCTACGTGATATTTTTAAAGTAAAAAAAACTGTGTCCCATTTTATTCGGTCGACATATATTATCTTTTTCCATGTCTTCCTATAAACTGACATCTTTATGGTCACTTTAAAGCTACATTATTCATTTTTGTAACCTAAATTAACTATAATTTTCATTAATTCATAATTGTACATACGAATAGAGAATTTTAAAACTAATATTCAAATACGACAAGTTATGAATTTACATAAAAATGTTCTTGAAGCAAAAGAAACGTTCAGGAACAAGTATATCCTTTAGGGAGTTGAGAGAATTTTAAATTCAAATTAAAAATTAAGAACAAGAAAAAACTAGGCCTTTGAGAAATTGTTGCGAAGAATATAATGGAACAAAAAGGAATAATGACTTATGTTTAAGAATGTTTCGTTATTAATGTTTTTGTAAGAAGCTATATTCTACATTCAGGGAATTATGGGTTTATTCCTCTTAAAAATGTAATAAATTCACTATTAAAATTATAACAACGTTTTCTCACAGGACAGTACTTTTTTATAGTACAGGAGCCAGACAAGCTAGAGGCTTATATTATTCAAAGGTATTAAAAGATAAAATTATTATATCTTTGATTGAATGATTATCCAAATTAAATCAAGAAGATTTAATTCAACATAACAGAGATGTAGTAACATTGACCTAGTTGTGAACGTGGAAACTGTGTTGAGGTTAAAAAGCTTTTGATTTACGTTCTTCAAACGAACCTCTTCGTTTTTTGAGACATAGGTGCTGCCGATTCATTAATAAAATCATTATAATGATGTTAACATCTACTTTTATTAAGTTCACTTAACCTTCTCTCAATAGAATGTTTTTATTCTTTCTAATCGAAAATATTAGTAACCAGCTAAAGATCTAAAATCCAGGAATCACCTAAAATCTTTCCATATTCAATTATAATTGTGATTATCTTCACAGAAGACAGACTAATGGCATCATTTATTGATTTTACATCAAATATATCAAAACATATATCTTGTATCTTTAAATGAGCAATTCTTGTATAAATATAATTGGAATCTCGGAATCGGCTCCAATGATTTTCATAAAATTTAGTATATAGGGGGGTTTCGGGGGCGATAAATCGATCTAGCTAGGAATCATTTTTAGAAAATGCCATTTTATTCGTGTTTTATTGATAATAATTTACTACATTAATGTATTCTAGAATTAACCAACTATTAAGTCTATAAAGTATTCATTTTATGACTGTAGCAGTAGGAAGTTTTAAATAGCTGCGGTTGAATCCAATCCGCTCGAAGACGGCAAAAGCACTTACGATAAAAGCTAAGCTTCACTAAGACATCTCTTTATAGGACTGGGAATCGGGAATGTTCGAGTCAGATCCGATAAAGTTTTTAATAAATAAAATTCTGCAACTAATACTTCAATTATCTTCTTTTTCATCAGCTCACTATACCTCCCCACCGAGGGGCTCGGAGCCTGCACTAAGTTAAGGGTGATTAGGCCATAGTCAACCACGCTGGCCAAGTGCGGGTTGGTTGACTTCACACATATCTTTGAATTTAATTCGAATATAATTTAATTTAAAAAGAAAAATATATTTCCTTATACAAAATTGGAAAGCCAACTCAATGTCCGGTTCACGGTGACTTGTACCCGACAAGGTATTTCCACTCGAGCACTTATTATCCTTAAATGTATATTTATGTCCGCAAGCTGCCAACTTCTCCACAATAATTGGAGTGGCAGACTTGTAGAAATTTAAATTACAAATTCCTTTATTGTGCAAAAGTCACGAAAACAAAGTGACTGTAATTGCGCATAATGTGAAAAAATGTCATGCTTTGTGTAGAAATGGTTGATTACAGTTGCAAGTTACACGCCTTGTCCCTGGTCAACTACGTATATTTATTTTAATTTAATTATTTACATACTAGCTGTCCCCCGCGACTCCTTCCGCACGTATTTAAAATAAAAACTTAATTAATCGCTTATGCGTTCTTCCAGACTGTGTTCTACATCTGTGCCAAATTTCAGCAAGATCCATGCAACCGTTCTGTAAATACCTTTAAACAAACATCCATCTAAGCATTTATAATATTAGTAAATAGTAAGATAACGCAAAGAAATATGCTTGTAGCTGATATAAGTATTATTGTGATATCCCTCTCTAACTGTCATTCTCAAAGTCGTATAATGGTTACTAAGATAGCTTGTTACTAAAGAATAGTGTGAAAAATCTATACTAAGTGATTTCTTAATTAAACGGTATTTAATGTGAGGGTGAAAATTAGTGGTCAATACTTTTTGAGTGTCACTTGCAGCAGTGAAGGGTATCGTTTGTGTACGAGACTTAAAATACTTAAGCAATCCTTATACTTTCTAGGATTATTCATTAGTTTAATAGCAATGCATTAAAATTCCTTGAAGTGGTTTCGCGACATCGTAGTAGTGGTAGATCGCGAGACGCGAGGCGGTTCAAAGCTTCGAGCTATTTGCGTCCGATAATTATGCAGCCGCACGCGCCTTTAACTGTGTAACACTATCTCAGCCGTTTCCGCTCGCACACCCTCCTTCTTTCAACACACTCCTTTGTAACATACGGAAACTTAGACGTTGTAAGTTATAAAGCGAACAGAAGCTTTACAAAATAATGATGCGCATAACATGATATCCTCTTTAAACTCAACGATTACAATTACTAACCATTTTCACTGCCGCAATACTTTATAATATATATTGTAGTCTCTCTGTTGATGAAAAGAAAAGTGAAACAATGGAATTCTACTTTAACGATATTCTAAAGCTGCATATATATTTTACAGATATGAATTAAAACTGTAAACTCATTATAATAGTATTCCTAACAAGTTACTAATGGTTTAGAACAATTGTTTGACCTATAACAATTGTTGAATGTTTACAAATACTATAGTATTATTGTTATTGAGATGTGTGAATTGGTCAACAGATGATCGGGCCGTGTTTATGAGGTCACCGCGGCGCGAGGTTCAGTCGCGGACCAGGCGGAGATGACGCGCGCGCGGTGCTCGGGCTGCGCCCTGTTGGCAGTCTTGCTATTGGTGCTGTGCCCCCTAGCCATCTCACGCAACGATGATGACTTCGATTTTGATAACAATGATGAGTTCCAGGTATGTACATCCACTTTTTTGTTTAACAAATTTTAAGTTACCTAAAGATTTTAATGTGTGAAAATCTAACAAAATCGGGTCAAATCTTGAACGGTGTTTTAGTGTTTAGAATATTCGATATCCATATAAGATTCTCGACAGAATTTCTGTCTTGAAAATTACTTCTGTGGATCACTAGAAAGAGGAGCAATGAAAATGGACATTTCCTGCAGGAAACAAATTACTTTCTTTTATCATACATAAGGTATATTAGTTGAGAAGTTCTTTTCCAATAACATTTGGATGAATTTCACGCATAGATATCAACGGCACTACAGTTTATGACATGAGAATATTGACAAACCTGGACTCGTATTTGCCCGTTACCGTCGTGCACAGTGTAGTGAACCGAGCCAGAGTGAGCTGTGCGAGAGCTTTGTAAACGTGCAATACACTGTACTGCGCATATACAGAGTGCTCTACAATTTTCTATTCAGGATACGGAAGTTGACGGTACTCCTGTTTTAACGACTAAAGTCTGCTATTATTATGCATTTAATTCAAATAATAAATGTTATGAAATCTTTTTTTATAATTTTAAAGGCTTTATGTTTAATTGGGTAAAAATATTTTTATTTTATGAAGTCAAAGACTGACGTCATTTTAATCATTTCTTTAATTGTAATATTTTTACGTGCCTCTTAAATCTTACTAATATATAATTATAAATGCAAATATTTACATGAATGGATGGATGTTTGTTCGAAGTTATTTGTAGAACGTCTCAACGGATCTCGATCAATTTTGGCATAGATGTAGAAGTGGCATAATGTCTGGAAGAACACATAGGTTACTAACTTTTTTTTTAATTACGCGCGGACGGATTTGCAAACGTCAGCTAGTTATAAATATATTTCAAATAATTCCATTACAGAGTATAATTGAATTAAATAATATTCATAAAGAAAATATTACTGCATAAAACTCTTTGGTAAATATAAATAAAGCTGGAAGACGGTCCAAAACGACGTGTATAGCTCGTAAAATCCTACAATATGGCAGCTAACAATATTATCGTATACCAGTCGTGTGAATTCGTTAACACTCAACATCAGCTCTCACGATTTACCGAGATTTTTCTCTCTCCCTGTACAATTTTTCGTTGAAAGCTTTTTCATACCAAACGTATTTAGATGTTTGGAAGGTAAATGTTTTTTATATTTTACTAGCGACGAAATAAACACTTATTTTTTTGCTGATTTTGATTCAGCTGTATAATTTTAAATTTTCGCAAATAAGCTTTTAAGAATATTTTAGATACATTTTTGAACATTGGTGACAAATTAAATCTGATTTAAAATGCAATAGTAAATGTTTGGATCTAAGGTAACCTTATCAGTATTTGCGTAAAATATGTTTGTGTAAATACATAACAGACCGACATGTTTGCTAAAGATATACATATGTTCACATGGATATGCATAATTTCCTAATATTATCGAATGCCGGGTATTTCCACATAAAAGTAAAATTTCCAGAAAGAATCAAAATATAGTAAAAACCCGTGACAATATTATTATAAGAATGTTTTTAGTTTTTTTTTATAGGAGAAGGGGGCAAACGAGCAACGAATCGCCTAATATTATTTGATCCGACGCCGCCGAAACCGCAGATGCGTTGCCGGCCTTTAAGGAAGTTGTACGCTCTTTTCTTGAAGGCCCCTAAGTCGTAACAGTTTGGAAAAACTTGTACTGTTTTAATTGTGTTAAACTTCACCAGGTTGAACTGACAGCAAACCATTCAGAAATAGCAAAAAATGGCCTAAGAAGATTATGGGGTGTTCCCGACACATCGGCCTACGTGGGGCATTTGTTCCGCATGGAGATACCCAAAGAAGCATTCTCCGGTGACGTAGTAGCTTACAAGGTACTGATTTTTACATTGGTGTATTATAAACTCATGTCTAATTTACTTAATAGCCAATGAAAATAAAACTTGCGCGAAATATACCGTATTAGTTATGGGCCTGTCATGGTCTTTCCACCAAAACTAATCGATAAATACACCGGCTGATGTGTTAACGTCTTTAATTAATTAATTTACGCACTTAATATTGTTTTAATTTTTTTATAATTTTATCCTTTAGATTTGTTAATGTATTTGTTAATTCGTTGCTTAGGTGTACAGCAAATCGTCTCGTCAGACGCCCAGCTGGCTGGCCGTGGACTCGCGGCACGGCCTGCTCAGCGGGCTGCCCCAGCGCGCTCAGCTCGGGGCGCACGCGCTTGCAGTTGTCGCGCATGGCCACACCCGCGGACTTACTGCCACTGATTATTTCACTATAGAGGTATGGACTAAACATATACGTATACACATACACGAGGATTCAAATTAAAAAATTAAGATTTGTAATAGTCTTTTTTTAGTTGTTCTTTGTTATATCTTATAGGGAACTTTCGCTCCCAGGGGATGCTTGTAAAAGATCACAAAACGCATTATCTATATTGATCTATTGAAATGTATTCCGCCATTATTTCAATATAATGCGGGTATTTTACACACATACGTATTTAGTTATATATGCCATTTGTCACACTTACGATAATAACTATAGGCATTGAGTAGGGGAGACATTTATGTAAGTGACGGGTCCGGCCATTAGGCGAACGCTGCACAAGCTCCATAATCCCTTAAGCCGCGACGCGATCCGATCTCAGCCAACAGCATTACTTCGTCGTTGCATTGCGAATGCAACGATTACCAACTATGCTATGATGGGTTTTGATATTGACTCATCGTCGAAGTCCTGACATATGAAATAAAAATTAATTTTTACGTGTTTCGGTAGTAGACTTTCACTTCAAACCGTAGAGGCTAAAGGTACGCGTTCATCGACCCGTAGTACGCACCGCACGCACGGATTAAACGAATTTTCTTTGTCATAATAATCATATAAAGAAAACTAAAATCTGTTGCGGGCCGCGCGTGTGGTGCCGCTGTCGCGAACCATTGGACGCGTACCTTTAAAAAAAAATTGGGAGTTCAAAAAATATCTGTGGTCATAATTATCGAATTAATTTTTCTTTTAAAATTAAGAACAACCTTGTTTTAATTTGTATTATCTCATTTAGTAAGCGCTTCTCTCATTAGTGAATAATAACGGTTAATTTCATCGTTCAGACAAAATATTCGTTCACGGCACAAAAAACTATTGTGCTTATTTTATTCAACGATGAGAGGCTAATGAGGCATTTCGTAAGTTTTTGAATTGGTTAATTACATCATATTTAAAACTTTATCTGTATAAGTACGGTTTTTTTAGCTTTATTTTAATACTTTATTAGTAGACCGTTATATCTTATATATAAAATTCACGTGTCACAATTTTCGTTCCCATACTCCTCCGAAACGGCTTGACCGATTCTCATGAAATTTTGTGAGCATATTGAGTAGGTCTGATAATCGGCCAACATCTATTTTTAATCCCGCGCGGACGGAGTCGCGGGCGAAAGCTAGTTTAATTATAAACGTCGGCTGTGTTTTATTCCTCATAATTAGTACATCTAGAACATGTATGTATGGATGTATGGATATAAAAAGTAAGATTAACGTGTTAAACGGAAGTCTGTAAGTAATCTCTGCTTACCCCTCTAGAGTAAAATGTAATATCGCTTTATTGTTTTTTTTACTTTTATAAATTAGTCAAAATTATGAACCTCTGAACTTTCTTATTTACGAGTGCATGTACAATATGTTTCTGAGACCAAAATCTGCGTATAAATCATATCTTCATCTATATCTTTCATCTTTGTGAAAACAGAGAAAACAATATGTTTTATAATCGAAAATGTTGGTCTCAGAAACCCACGGCTAGTGTTACAACTCTGTAATAAAGTTTTGAGTGTCTCAGACGATGAATAAACGACGGACGCCAGAAACGTTTATATCATTAAGATTACAGACATAAAGCCCTGTTATTGTCCATTTATCCGCCATTACGACTAATTGCAATACGCTTAGGCTATTCACAAGCTTATCGTGATGTAAACCATTATTTGAATTCATATTTGCCACGAAATATCATTGTTATAGATTTTATTTTATTTTTAGTACATAGAGGTAATGTTTTTAATCAGAATATAGTCAAAACTGGATAAGCGACCTTTATAAGCTAGAGTCATTCAGATCCTAAGGGACGACCATAAGTAAGAAACATATTGCGGTTCCTTGGCCTCTCGCTTATCCCGGTTGGACTGTAGATGATCGTATCACCTGCTAAACAAAATTTCTTTAAATGTATAAACTAATCACTTATCTTAATAATATTATAAATGCGAAAGTTTATGGATGGATGTATTTTTATTGGAAGGTATCTCCAGAACGGCTCAATGGATCTTGACAAAACATTTTTGCTCATGATCTTGGATTAAACACAGTCTGGAAGAATAAAAAATAAAAATACACATGCTAATGATGTCTTATTTATTCCGTGCGAACGGAGTCACAGGAGACAGCTTGTTTGCGTATATTTTTAACAGTAGTTTATAATAATTATTTTAAGAATTTAATTACTAAATAATATCTTGCAGGTGAAAGAATCAAACGAGAAGCCGCAATCTAAATACGGTTGGTGCCGTCACGATGAGAACCGGCTGGTGCTGGTCATCCTGGTGGACGGCGCCTTCCACCGCATCCCGCCGCGACATCGCATCCGTGCGCTCATGGATCTCGCCGCTTTCATGGCACTTGATGGGGTACGTAAAAATTAACAAGAAATAGTTAATAAAACGAAGAAAATATAAACAAATATTTAAGAATAAAATTGTTATATTAGAAGTTTGAGAACAACTGACCAGTTGACACCATTATTTTATTACAATTCATATTTGGAAAACAACAATATAAACTACAATAATAACTCATTGTCTAGCGTTTTTTTTTTCATTAAGTAAACATAGCTCTAAGCATTTAAGATTTATAGTCTAAAATTATGCAGTTTAGCTAATGCTAATCTTATTAATATTATAAATGCCAATGTTTGTATGTATGGATCTCGCTGAAATTTGGCATAGATATAGAACATAGTCAGGTAGAACTTGTAGACTACTAATTTTCAATTTAGTGGACGGAGTCGCGGCTGACAGCTACTAAATAAATATCTAATAAAAGCATGTTAAATAATTTCCAGCCAGTCTTATCTCAATAATCCAGAATTTATTGAAATATGTACATATCGAAGAGGTTGTTGGGCTGATTTTTTTACGTGTTCCATTTTATTGCGAGCCCGAAGGTTTTATGGATAAGATCTGAGCTCTGCAATAAAACCACCGGCTGGTTAACATCACATCGTTTTCTAAATAAAAGTTAATTACGTGCTTGAATACTAAGTAATTATTTCAACTAATTCTGATGTCTTAAACAAAGTCGTTCGTGTTTTAAAATGATACTATGATATTGTATTCCGTAAAATACATTTTTGAAGTCAAAAGCTAAGAGATAAAATTTATGTTTTTTGTTTTCTTCGACTCCGTCTGTGCGGGATTAAAAAAAAAGTAATTAGTAGGCTATGTGTTATTCCAGACTACGTTTTATATCTATGCCAAATTTCAGCGAAATCTGTTAAACCGTTCCGGAGATAACTTCAAACATCCATCCATCTAAACATTCGTATTTATAATATTAGGAAGATTGCAATGGTTTAAATATACAAGTTGGCAGTTTTAAGAGTTGCGTCGTTTGTAAGATAACAGACAAACGTATAAATACATTAATAAAACTTATAAATGAAAAGAGCTAAATCAACATGGAATTTGCTAAGAGTTAACTTTTGCACGTTAAAATAGTTGCATTGAAAAAAGTTTTGGTAAGCAACAGTACGATTTAACCAATGTGAATATGTTTACTTTACAAACATCAACCCCTTCGTAGACGCAAGACTGGGATTATTCCCCTCTCGTATCTTATTTCACGCTTCGCTCGGATTAAAAGCTTAATCAAGTCAAAAGCAAGGGTAGTGTTAGGTCTCTCAGGCTGAAATGTGTTTACTTTGTTAGGTAGTCTGGAATATGGAGAATTTACGTGCATATACGGATGCATAATTAAGCCCGTTTAAATAGCAAGAAAAAGTATTTTGCTTTTTGTATATAACAGAGCTAAAAGAAAGTTATTATAAAGAGCTATTTAATAGCACATCTTAAGGATAGAAAGGAAAATAATACTAAAAAAAAAATGATGTAATAAAGTACTACTGGTCTAAGGTCTTTAAGAGTTATCTTCCACTAAACGACTAGCTGCGCTAGTGAAAAAGGAATCTAATTCGATGATTGTTTATTCCTTATTAGCTATCGCCCTCGACTCCGTAGTCGCGCATGAAAAAAAACTTAATAAGTTACCTATGTGTTCTTCCAGACTACGTTATACGTCTACACCAAATGTAAATAAATCTATACGAAATCTTTTCAGTCGTTTCGGAAATACCTTCAAAGAGACAACCATCTAAACTTTTGAATTTATCATATTTTATAATATTAGTATTATAAAATTTTTGTTTTCGGTTTCAGGACGAGTTCTCAATGGAGCCATACAAAGCGGAGTCGGTGCGAGGTGACGCGGTTCTGTTGAGCGGTGCGGGCACCACGCAGCGCAAGCGCAACGACGCCGCCACCGCCATCTACCTCAATGTAAGGCAACACAACAATGGACTAATAATTATTTAAATATTTTATAAATTCCACATTCTTCCAAAATGTAACTGTTGAAATTAGTAGCTACTTATTTAAAAAGTAAAACTGTCAAATAACATTCATGTAGTTAGTTTTAGATTTTAGTAATCTTTGGTTTCTGAAACCAAATCTGTACATAACATATCGTCATCCCTATCATTTTCTTTGACCAAATAGAGATAAAAATATGTTTTAACTAGGATTTAGGTGTTAGAAAAGCAGGGTAATGTGTGTTGTTGTAGGTGGGTTGCAGCGACAAGCTGTGGTCGCGGCACAAGGTGCTGGTGGGCGGGCTGCGGGAACAGGCGCGAGATGGCACGCTGGCGCACCTGCTGCGTCTGCCCGTGCTGGGCTGGCGGCTGCTCGCCCGTCGCCCCAACAAGCCAGCTCTGCGACCCAAGAGACAGGTCACTTCACAACTACGCTAAACTAACAAACTCTTAATTATATGTTCTTATCCAAAAAACTAAACTCCCACCTAAATGCTTACACTAAGACATAATGGTAGAAGAGTGGAAGCCTGTGCCAAATGTAGGTCCGTAGACTCTGCCTTCCACTCTCTGGTATGAGCGACGTTTAGACCGGTTCACGTTCCCTTCTCACCCATTTCTTAGAAAAAAAATGACGGGGAAAGGAAATGGATTTGGCAGAGGAGGGGACGCATCACAGAGGGATATTTCCTCTTTCTGTGTGTTATTCCACTGTATTAAAGTCGGCAATGCAACTGCAATTTCAGATGTCTATGGGTAGTGGTCGCTGCGCTATTAATAATATAAAAAAATATATGAGAGTATTGTGTCCTTAACTACCTATGTCAGACGATTCAATGCACAACCTGTAAAGATATAAAATTCTCTGTATAAAACAATCAATCGTGTCATTATCTTTTACAAAACATAGATCGGGAATATTGACCTCAGAAACTCACAATATATGTTTGTTAACAGTCATCTATAGATGGATCAGGCGCATACGATACATACGACGGCGAGGACGACGGTGCCGACTACAGCGGTGATTACGACGACGATGATGATGAAGACTTCCCCATAGACACGCTCTCAGAACCGGTCAGTGACAACCTCTATATTATCCTTGTCTATGGTCTCATTGACTCGTCTAAGCAGGCCCGCACTTCTATACTATTTGTCTATGGTCTGTCGTTAAGTGTTGCCAGTATTAAATATTATTACCAATATGGTAGTAAAGGTTAAATAAAAAATGTGTTTTAAATCTTTGGAATTTTATGGTGTTGGGATTTTTTTAGCAATTAAAATTTTTATTGCAAAATAAAATTAATGATTTTAAATCTAGTACTATACAAAACGTATTATAATATACTTCCTATTATTTCCTAGAAGCTACTGAGTATTAACCAAATTAAAAATATGGGTTATCTTTAAAATAAAAATGTCCTAACAATGTCTGCATTTATAATTTGTAGACAAGTTTAGATTAATAGATTTAATATTTTAAAGCAATAATTAAGAAATAGACGTAGGTCAAACGTGTCATATACTCATCATTTTTTTGTCATTTTGTCATGATTGTTACACTAATCTGTCATTTCATTTATTCATTGGAATGTCATATTCATTCATCAATTATCATACTCAAATTTACGGCATTTTTTTTAATACGCGTATTGAAAACGGCAATAGTCTTGTTTAGTTCTAGATTTTTAGTTTAAAAATGTTTTCCAATGAATAATGATAGTGAAATTAGGGATGCACGGTACATTATTAATATAATGAGACTATAAATATAAAAATTTAAATAGATATAAAGAGTATTCTTTAATCGTGCGTCCCTTTGAATATTAATGGAATGGACTTGCACAACAACGACCATGGCATGGAATGTTGAATGTGCAATCACTGTGTCTCTTGTGTGGAGGTTCTTTTACTATGTGGTTGCTGTGTCCAGACAATTGACTCTCTAACCTTTTGTATCCTTTACTCTCACACTATATCAGTATACTTTACACTCATATCGTCTCATATTAATATAACATATTTCATCTACATAATTTAAAATACATTCTTAAGACAAGCTTTGTGTGTGGTTATTTCATAAAATTTGCTTAAAGGGGCTTTTACTTTGCACTGTTGAACTAACAAATTCAATGTTTGTGTGCCTGATTGGGTTTATAGCGATTTAATAAGGACATGCCTTTAATACTTTATTAATATTATTTATTAAATTAGTTCTAAAATAATTATATATAAAAATAAAACTACTATTTTTTTTGTTTATTGGATAATTTTATTAATAGTACCATTTGAATTGATTTTGATGCTATAATTCTAAATCTTTCTACTATATATAAACTGTATAAAGTAGAAGGATTGTTTGACGATCTACAATATAAGAGTTAAAAATTATCTGCCCATTTAATAATTAAAGTTCAAGGCAAAAAAAAAAATACTATACTTAAAAACTTGGTACAGCCGTAACCAAGATGAAAGAACAGTATAGAATCTTTGTTTCTATAAAGGCATGTCCGGAGTTACCTCGATATAGCAATAACCACAGACATAGCGAGAGGTAGAGATAGAGGTAGGAGGTAGGTGTAAGCGGGCTGCAGTACTAACGCAGTGTGTGTCGCGGCGCAGCCCCCGGCGCACGCGCACGCGCATCGCCACCACCACGGCGACAGCTGGCGCGCGCCACACACCACCACACACATCTTTCAGACCGAGCCCGCCACCGAACACGCGCCGCGGGAACCACNACAACCACAACCACAACCCCTCCCCCAACCCACACCCGACACCACAACTGAACCCACCACTGCAGCCGTCTCAGAGGAAACCACCCCCGAGCCCGTCTCCACTAATACGTACACAACAGAGGTTTGTCGTAACCCGCTCCTGCTTTGTGTTCAAGTGTTGTTGCATGGTTGTTGTTTGTTTCTAACATATTTATCTTGTGTCTCTTTCTTACTATTTCACTTTCTCTGTCTTCGTATTTATGATCGCCTTGTCTTCTACGTCGTTGTATCGCTTCAGGACATAAAATATGTAATTTTGTAATATTCATGTGTATTTTCTCGATTATTTTTTTTATTATATCAATATGTTTTACTTATTTAAATTATTATTTAATAATTTTAAATACATATCTATATTTAATTGTAATGTGTTCTTTTAAATGTAAATAGGATCGATGTTTGTATTAGAATTAAAGCATGAATTTTAGAGAAGTTTTTAACTGTTGTTTATCATCGGAGAATCATTTTTGTTTCACAACAGCACGATGTCTGCTAGACGTAATTATTATAAGCATGCATTAGTATTTAAATTTTTATTAACACGTATATAAAAATATTGCTTCTTTTATTTAGGTAGTGAAAATAACACCATACACAGAGGCTGTGTCAGAGTCGAGTGAAGTTAATAAAGTGGATCAAGCTTTGGAGGAAGCTCGTAAGTTCCTCCATTCTCCTGTCATCATATCACCGGAAGACGCATCTACTACAACAGAACCCGAAATGGTACGTATATTTGCACTTTGACTATGAACCAAGTCACGTTTGTATGTAAACACTAACATGTCTCGTGTGGACCTGGAGCCCGGGGTAGTGTAGTCACATACATAATGTTCACGCATTGTAATCTGTAAATACATTATCTAACCAATCCGATATACGTACAGACAACTTTTATAATTCATTATATAGAAATTAAATAAAAAAATATATCATTATGAATTTTATCCTTTAAAACTCTATCCAAGTAGAAGTAAGTTAAGAATGTTAAAACCAAAGTAAAAGTCAAAATGTATTATAGTAATGTAAATTAAATTAATTCAGATTTGGCAATCTTTTAAATAGAAATATCATGAGCAGTTGTCTTAACGTAAGATCGTTCACGTCACGTTGTGTGAGCGTCCGCATGGCACTTTCAGCAAACTGTAATAATACGAGCGTCCAACGAACTGCCGCCGATCTCCTCGGAAGCGCCCACCACGCCCACCTCGCCCACTTCGGTGACGTCACCCTCGCCGTCGCCCACCGACTTCGCCCCCACCGAGACCACCACGCCGACAACCGTCTCCACCACGCCGTCCACCACGTCTACCACTACGACCACGACGACCACAACGACGCAGGCGCCGACCACGACCGTCCCGCCGACCACTACATCGCCCACGACCACGCCCCTTATTATAACGACCCCGCCCACAACCACGCCCGTCCCAGAAACAACTCTACAGGAGGTTACAAAACAGGTTAACAATTTTCACACAATTTGCATATCTACTTTTTTATGATGAATTTTTAGTAAGTTAAGTTTGCAAATACTAAAACAGCGTTTATCACCATCACTTAGTTAGGCTTTTACAGGGTGTTTGTTCATTGGGTGATAATTTCATATCATTATCTAACAATTCCAATTTTGTCAGTAATTAACTGTTAAATATATTTATTGTAAAATACTCCAATCACAAACATTGGGGAAAAGGTACTTGTATAAATAAATTACAGGTGCAAAGGAGTGATTTGTGCACAAAATAATTTATATTTTTAACTTCGAATTTTTGGTCTGTGATGTACATTGTACATATTCAAATGTTTTATAGCGTTCGTCTTTTAAGTGGGTTAAGGTGGGATTGTTATTATTAGTAGTAATATATTCTGTATAAAAAATTTACTTTTAATCTGTTTGCAAAATGTATTATACTTCTACAAAAACATTTTATCTATGTTCTTTGACATAATTGTTAAGTAAGGTAAATTATTTTATTTCAATCTATTGATGCGATTTTTTTATTATCTACACTTTGGGTAGGATACTTAACCATAGCCTAGACAGTTAAAAAAAGTTTCGGTAATTTTTGAGTTCAAACAATGAAATCATAGTGAGCTTACTATACGTCTTCACTAAGAGACTTGGCTCTAAGTTAGGATTGACTAGGCCATTTTCAACCCCGCCCAATGCGGATTGACTTCACACACACTTGAATTCATTTCTAGATATGTGCAGGTTGCATCACGATGTTTTCTTTCACCTTAAGAACGTAAGATAAATGTACATATATGTATAAAACTACAATCACATTGGTACATGTCGGGATTCGATTCCAGGACCTTAACTTCTGAGCCACTGACACTCTCCAATTTCAAAGAATTGTAGTTTCTGCATGCTTATCCTCATGTCCAAAGTATGTAGTAACAAAGTGTGTGTCCGGCACATGCAGGAGTTGCCGCTGTCATCAGAGCGCAGCAGCACGATAGTGGGGCGCACCACGGAGACCGTCACCTTCCCCATGCCCCCCAACCAGCCCCCCACACTGCGCTACCACATGAAGAAGCTCGCCATCACCGCCGGCAAGGCTTTCAGGTACCTTCACGTGTTCATAACGACTTCGACCGCGCGGAATTAAAAAATGAACTTAAGTGTTCTACATCTTTGCCAATTTCCATGCAGATCTGTGAAGCCGTTATGCAGATACCTCTTAACAAATATTCGTCTATCCATCCATCCATCCATCTAAACATTTGAATTAATAATATAAGTAAAATTATCTATTTAAATTTGTATGAAATAATTTCTAAAAAGTATTTTTTTTCTACATTAAATATGAAAGGTTGTTTTTTTATCATTTCATGTAAAAAAATTGTTATCATTTTAGATAAATTCTTATAGAACTTCTAACTGAGGTTCAAATTATTGAATTTCAGATACATAATCCCCGGGGACCTGTTCTCTGACCCGGAGGAGGGTAGCAACCTCACCTTCACCATGTACGACTCTGACAACGTGCCGCTGCCGCCCACCTCCTGGATACAGTTCATACCTGCCAAGAGGGAGGTCTATGGATTGTAAGTATATACAACTAGTGCTAGACCACGACATCGTCTTCGCGGAATCAAAAGAAGAAAATTATGGGCTACAATATTCCCGTACACAACAGCTACACAAATGGTCCAGCCGTTTCGGAGATTACCTGAAACAAAGTTTGCGGACAGACAGACAAAGAGACATGAAATATAAAAAATAAGTTTTTCGGTATTACGTACAGACATTCCGATCTAATCAATCATAAATAACATTAAAATAAAGTCAATCGTCTTCTAAAACTAATTCTATTCTTCCAGGCCTTTAGAATCCCACGTATCCAGATGGAACTTCAGAGTGGAGGCTCAAGACAGCGAGGGTCTAGTGGCGAGAGGTCCGCTAGACATCACGGTGCAGCAGCACAAGGGTCAGCGCACCATCAACCATCAGTTCATAATGCAGTTCAAGCTGTTGAAGCAATACACGAACGCCATCGACTGGCAGATACGAGCGCTCGAGGGTATCGTCAACCTGTTCCGTGACACGGACATGGATCATCTGACCGTCCTCAACGCGACCCTCACCGGGGACCTCTGCGAGTACGTCTGGACCAATGACACACTGCCCAAAGACCCCTCTTGTCCCATGGATGATATCAATAGGCTTATGAAGGTAATGCACCATTTTTAAGTTCTAGAGAATGTTTGCGTCATTATCAATGTACGATTCATTTATTATTATTAGCTGTCGCCCGCGACTTTGTCAGCGCTGTAAAAAAGTAGTTGCATCAGCCACATTTCCATCCAAGTTCCGTCAAAATCGTTCCAGCCGTTCCGGAGATTACCCGGAACAAACGCGAGCTCGCGGACAGACATACAGATAGATGAAAAATTGTTATTTTTGTTGTTATCAACGAAAATACATCATTTGTTCGAATTACGAATATATTTTTTTCTTTCTATTACATACAGACACTCCAATCTAATTATTATTTATAGATAATGGAATCTGATACGGAGCCGGGCAAGCCGTCTAGTGCGCTGTTGCGTGCGATGTCGCCGGAGCTGGGCGCAGTACGCGTGCGCTGGGCGGGCGCGGGGCGGTGTGCGGCGCCAGCTCCGCCCCGCACGCGTCCGCACGACACCTACCCGCCCGTCACACGCAACCAGGTCGACCATCTCACCGCCACCGTCGGACATCTGCAAGTCTACAAAGTGCCTGAGGTCAGCATCACAATGCTACATACAGGGATTCCTAAATCTTTGTACGCACCTTTTGATAGTGTATTCATGTTTGTTGTTGTATTTCAGGACACGTTCTTCGACCCGGAGGACGGCGGCACTCGCAACCTGGCGCTCTCGCTGCGGCGCGCGGACCGCTCGGAGCTGGCTGCGGAGCACTGGCTGCAGTTCGACCCTCGCAACCAGGAGTTCTACGGCCTGCCCTCCGCCGCTGACGAGGGCACCGTGCACTACCAGCTCGTCAGTATACTGCCCACTTACTATTGACAATTTATTATCGGACTAGAGACATTGTAAACTGAACTGCTCCTATATATTCAAACAAATAACTTGCTGATTTTGTATAAAATAATTTTTAATGTATTATTTAGTAATTATACATTTACATTTTAAACGTGAGAAATGAACTCGATATCATAAGGATGATGAATTTTATATGTTCTCAGATCGCGGAGGACTCGAGCAAGAAGAGCGCGTACGACAGCCTGATAGTGGAGGTGGTGAAGGCGCCCACCATCCGGCCCACTGTGGAGTTCCACATGACGCTGGACAACCCGTACTCCGCCCTCGCCTCCAGCGCGCGCGCCAAGCGACGTCTGCTCGAGCGACTCGCCAACCTCTTCGACCAGCACCACACCGACAACATCCGCGTGCACGCCATCACCGACAACCCCACCACCATCGTATGGTAACTGTCGCCTTATATGTAAACCCTGCTTCCACTGGAGCCTAAACCTACTGCTATAGAACTAGTCCGGCTATCAATCGCTTTGTGGAAACATTTAGAATGACTTTAAATATACCAATTACATTTTTGTGTAATATTTAATTTGGCTTTGAAATTCTCTAACTGGTCTGTTTAGAATGTAATAACAATCAGATTTGATCTCTGTTGTTGTTGAATCCATGTTGAAAAATTGTGGATCACATATTTTTATACAACCACTTCAACATGGGTATTAGATGAAAAGGCTTGACTAGTGGACTATTCACTATGAAAAATCCAAAATGACCGCCCTTACAAAATGGCGGCTGATGTAGTTTTGTACATTTTCCACAAGCTAATAGTAAAAGTAATAAAACTTGAAACTTTTAATATAATTTATTTACGCAATATTTTCAGGTACAACACAAGTTTACCAATGGACAGATGTCCTAAGAAAGAAATCGAGGAATTAAGAAAGATGATAATAGTCGACGAGAGAGGTACTAACGGCGGCAACCTGCAGGAGAGAGTTGATACGATATTTGACAAAGATTTCAACGTGATGTCCATCAGACTAGTATCACAAGGCCTCTGCGCCGAACAGAATACTAAGATGGCGAAGGGCGGGCTGGGACCAATTAATGCTGGTACCAACTTACAGAACAAAGCCAGTAATGCAGATCCGGAGTACTCTGACTATTTGGTGACATTCGTGATTCCAGCTGTAGTTATAGTGTGCATGATTCTCGTGGCCGGTGTCATCGCCTGTGTCCTCTACAAGCGAAGACGTACAGGTCAGAATATAATTATCTTTATTTCACATCATCACATCATCAGCTCACTATACGTCCTCACCGAGGGGCTCGGAGTCTACCCTAAGTTAGGGGTGATTAGGCCATAGTCAACCACGCTGGCCAAATGCGGGTTGGTTGACTTCACACATATCTTTGAATTTCTTCTCAAATATGTTCAGGTTGCATCACGATGTTTTGCTTCACCGTGAAAACGTCGGATAAATGTACATATGTAAATCAGAAACCGAAACACATTGGTACATGGATTCGAACCCAGGACCTGCAGATTGCAAGTCAAGTGTCTGACCCCTGAGCCATCGACGCTCGATCTTTATTTCAATTTAAGCTATTTTCCACTGAAGAAATATTTGTACATATTTCACCTCTAATAATTAATTGAAATAGATATTTTTACTTGTGTTCTAACAGTGGACATCCATGATAAAATTGTATTATGTACATTCTAAAAGTTTTAAAATTAATCAAGTAATATTTGCTTATAATTTTTGTCATTCCTTGTTTTTGTACTGTATATGTTTGTCTACATGATATGTATATTAACAGTAGGCGAGGCGGTTGCCTGACACAAATCTGGAGGTGACCCTTTTTTACATTATTTGGTAAAAGCACGTTTATACAAGGTTTTTTGTGTATTACTACTTTTTATTTTGAATTTTATACACGCCTTTATTTATTTTTTAAAAGTTATTTAAAGTTTGACTACAACGATTCACTAGAAGCATGAAACAATCTGTAAATACACGAAAATATCTCACAGTTTATGCCCACACTGACACACAACTGATGTTATATCCTAAATTATAAAATAGGTGTTACCTAATCTCTTATAAAGAGATATTTTGTGTAAATAAATATGTTTTATGTTTCAGGCAAAATGAGCGTCGGTGATGAAGAGGAACGTCAAGCGTTCCGCTCGAAAGGCATCCCGGTGATATTCCAGGACGAGCTGGAGGAGAGAGGCGACACTGAGCCCGTCCACAAGAGCCCGGTGATCATGCGCGAGGAGAAGCCGCCGCTGCTGCCGCCCGCGCCCGACTACCGCGCGGGAGAAGACGCGCCCTACCGCCCGCCCCCGCCCTTCGCCGCCTCGCGCACGCCCCCGCGCCCTAAAGCCACGCCCACCTACAGGAAGCCGCCGCCCTACGTCCCGCCCTAAGACTCCGCCGCCTCTACCTCCTACATCTTTACATCGCCTTTCTTTTTACCTTCGCTTCATTAACTACGGAGACAGCTTCACTAGTCGATATTCAGCTACGATCTTATTTATTCGAAATTTTCATCGATTTGGTACAAACAAGCTCTGATGTCTGACTTCTTACATTTCTGTAAGATTTTGAGCTTGTTTTTTTTATATTTATTTGTATACATTTAATCGTATTTCGATTTATTCTTATGAAATTTAAATGGAAAAGCTACGAATGCATTTATTATATAATGAATTAAGATAACCTCATATCGTGAAGGAATTGTGCACAATATTGTGACTACGAATTTCTTATACAACGTAAGTTATGTCGCGTACTTGTAAAATAGTTAAATCGAGTTGTTTATGCAAGAACTGAAACTTCACAATCAAATAAATATTAGTTATTGTTGAAGTAGCTATATAGCAAATAGAAATCCGTACCGTTTCAATATACCAAATATTTTATATAGATAGACTCTTACAAACAGACAGAAATAACTAGTTTTAATCTTAAATAGCTCTAATAATAGAGTTGCACATATAATAGTTTTTTTTATTCTGACAGCTTGTAAGGGTCGATCTATATGAAAACATGAAACACGTTTTTCGTGACTAAAATATTAACAGTAGTCAGCACGCAGACCAAGTAATATATTGGCTAATCGTGTGCCATTGTTATCTACTAACGTTAAAAATTAATACATATCGAAAATTGTAACATTTTTAGCCTTTAGCCGTAGTTCTTCCAACTGTAATACGTAGAGCGTGTTTGTATGTGGATGTATTTCACGAGGAAGTTGTATGGCTTCACGCTGTATACAATGCATGGGTTATTTTGACGTAATAGTGTGGATTTAAGTATACAAACGCAAATATCGACATAAATTATCGATACTTTTATCGATATTATCGATAAAAAGCAATAATGAATTTGATAATTTATTATCACATTTCCTAATATTAACGTAATTTTTATGAATAAAGGAAATGATGTAAATGACAATGAATTACGTAATTTAATATTATTTAGAAACGAATTCATTTTAAACGAATATTAATAGATATATCGATAATGGTGTGTCGATATGTCCCAACACTAATTACAATGAACGTTGTAATTTTTACAAGTGACTTTAGTTTTAGGCTACGAATAGATATTTTTTAAGAATGAAGTATCATTTTGTACTTGTCTATTACCATAGCTTTAAGGATTAACAAATTGTGTTAAATTTATAGGAGAACGAAATGAACCTATATAATGTAACTTTTCATTTGGATGTATTTTTTTTCTTTTTTGTATACTCATTTAGAATTTGCATTTATAGTTATTTTAGTGTTATACAGATAATTTTACTGGACAGCTATTTTTTTTTGTTTTTGTTTGTTTGGCAATATTTGTACTTAATGTCAATTTGAACCGAACCATTTTTTTATTATTTGATACTTACAATTGGCAGCAATTTATTCACTATTCATTGTAACGCACATAATTTATGTAATTAATGAGTTTTCTAATTTAATAAAATGATCTAGTGACGATTTCGTTTTATTTTAAAACGAGCTGTCACCCGAGTGGAATTAATAAAAGGTAATTATTCGATTTTTTCTCACCTTTTAAACCTTCCCTAGACCTCCACAGACATTTCAAGAACGAGATAAGATAAATACGTTCAGCCGTTCTCGAGTTTTAACGCGACTAACGAACAGCAATTGATTTTCATATATTTAGATTAGCTGTCACCCTATGTCAACGTATCTCGGGAACGGGCTGTATGGATCGCACTGAAAATTGGCATAGATGTAGAACGTAGTCTGGAAGAACACATAGGCTTGTTAAGTTCTTTTTTTCAATTCTGCGCGGACGGAGTCGAGTAAGGAAAAATCAAAGAAACAAGACATATTTTTCAAATAATTTTTAATGTTCGCAAAGAGTTTTAACTACAACAAATTAGTAGTTTCACTACAACAATTCAGTAGTTGTTTACATAACAATAGATAGCTACAAGTAATACATAGAATGCGTAAATTTGACTACATCTTCAAATACATAAATCTTGACAGTCATTTATCTAATTGTCAATTTCATTGAAGTTACAAATAACAATGTAAATTTCGACACAACTTTTTTACCAACAATTTATTTGTCTCGGAACAAAATCATGACATAAGGTAATTGAAAATATAAAATACAAGATTCAAAGTAACAATTTTAATGCGTTATGATTATTTTTTAATAATGAAAATGGTAAACATTCGAAGGAATTTCAAAGTTAGCTGTTACTGTTAAAACAAAACAGAGCTATACAAAAATTATAAGCCATTTATACAATTTATTAATACTTTAAAAAAGTAATTGACTGATTTATAGATTAAGGTTAGGTCTACGTATTTGAGAAATAAATCATTCATTTAAATAAGTACGTTACATAATGCCAATTCGACACACAATTTAGACAACAAAATAATCCAAACATTCCCGCAACATATGAGCAGCTAATTTTAAGATACTTGAGTATAATTCTGAGATATCTTTGGAATCAAATAATAAAACGTACATTTTTTTACAATCTAAAAGACATTATATGTTAAAGTACGTAAATTTTCACCACATGGATAAACAATGAAACATTATTCAATAACGAACTACAATTTACATAGGCGATAGGACTTAATGGAGTCGAAGTAACCAAATTTAAACTATTTAAAGCTAAGCAGGACGTCTATAAACACATCGCGACCGCACCGCACCGCGCAACACCGGCACCGCACCGCGCAACACGGGCACCGCATCGCGCAACACGGGCACCGCACCGCGCAAACCGGCACCGCACCGCGCAACACGGGCACCGCACCGCGCAACACTGGCACGGCACCGCACGACGCAACACCGGTGCCGCACCGCACACTCTACTTCCCTACAAATAAACACATCGGCGACCGCACCGCACCACACCGGCAACGCGCACGCTACATTCCTACAAATAAATTCTTGGAAACATTTTGGAAATAATTTAAAAATAACAATAAATTACTTTTTATCAACAGTCTATAAAATCACCTAATTTTCAATGTAAAAATGTTCGAAAATAAAAAAAAATATTCTAAAATCTTATATAGACATAATACTGAAAAAAAGTATTTTAACATTCTAGACAAATCCGAATGATATCCATGATATTTGTGATTCCACGATAATTTTTACAAAAAAATAAACAAAACAAAAACACGTAAACATAAATTTCACACAATTTTCAATAACATTATTGCACTAAATCTTCATATTTCATAACTTAATAATAAATATTGCATAAGCGTTAAAAACACATTTCGTGAGATAAAATTACTAATCTTAAAGTACTAATCGAGTTTATTAATTAAAAAAAATATATATCAGTCTGATGAAAGTGTTATTCATTTCATCCAAGTCGTGTGCGCTGACATCGAGGAGAAGGAAACAATCAGTAAGTCAGAGTACGAACATTGCGCTAACTACTGTCCTATCTTAACTAAACATTAAGTACAATTTGGTGCTCAAATTTTATAATGTAAGTGTTAATTATTAAAAACTATAGAATTATTTATCTACAAAATTCGAAAAAAGTGCTTCAGTTTTGACATTTGTTATATTTCTACATAGCATTGAGATTGACATTTTTGACCATATGACGTTTAATCTGCAAGCTCTCTAGTTCCTATTCAATGAAATTCGTACTGTAAGTATTAGCTCCTAAAGGTATTTAAACTGGCTTTAACTGGTATCAGACTTATTAAGTATTACAAGATTCAAACTTTATGGTGACTCGTGGTTGTGATAGCGCTTTTCTGCTAGGGCCTATAAAACTCTCAAGAGGGCTGTTTCTTGATAGACAAAGATGTGATTTTGCGAGCCGCCATAAAGTTTGTACAGCACTATAACACTCCGGCTACTGCCGCCTTGAGCCGGCGCTGAGGCCACAGGACGCGCTGTGCTATGTCTACTAGATAAGTAAGAGAGGATGCAGCTCACGCCGCGTCTATGTCCCCTCCGTGCCTCTCGTTAGTCACACTATTGTCCGTTATATTTCTGTTGCCTAGAAAAGGAAAAAACATCTATTTAGGTAATGTTTTCATTTATCATTATAAACCAAAGTTTTATCAAAGATTTTAGTTACTTTTGCAGGGTCCGCGATGCAGTGTGTCGACGACAGTGCCGGCGTGACATGCGGCGCGCTGCAGCCGGCACCAGGAGGGGTAGGTGCGCTTGTCCGTGCCGCAAAGCGTGCGCCGCGTCCCTCCCGCCCCGCCGCCCGCACCGCACGCCCCGCACGACACGCAGCGCGCGCCGCTCGCGCCCCCCGACACGCACCGCTGTCCACTGCCGCACCTGATTGACGCGCAAGTCGCGTTCGCTGCAAACACAACACTATACTTGCCACAGTAATCTCAAACAACGCCCAATAATAATTCGTCCATCACTATCGTCTTTTGAAGTTCTTCTCTTATATTTAAGAGCTTTAGCCTACCTATACAAGATCCCCTGTAAGCTAGCGGCAGTGCGCGGCCTCGCTCGCATGCGGCGCGGCGCAGTGCGCAGGCACCGGCGTAGGTGCGGCCGTCGACCGCGCAGACAGGCGCGCCGGCCGTGTTGCACGCGCCGCACCGCGCACAATGCGCGCCGAGCTCTGCGTCCAGTACGCACCGCTTGTCGCCGCCGCACCGCACGCCCTCACACGTACCCACTACATGGACAAATATACGTTATCATTTTAATACATTCCTCATCAAATAATACGTAATGTTATTGTAAATTTAGACACGTGTCATAGCAGTGGAGACTCACCGCAGTTACAAAGTACGGAATACTTATGAGACTACGCATACGATAGACTATTTTCATGAAACAATCCCTCTTTTAAACGTACTTGGAATTATTGGAAGATAACGTTAAAACACTTACAAATATATTTTTCCTTCTACCTTCAATTAGTAAATTCGAAATTTCAATAAAACCGAAATTATATCATACTTGCACAGATGTAATTTACTAAGAAATTCAACTAAGAAACGTAATAACATGATGTAGTTACTAGACGAAGTAGAAATCTATAGAACAAGCGGACGAGACTGGATAGTACTTAGTACCGCTTTCCTTGGGCCTAGCTGTATCGCGTTGCGGTTTATTGCTCCTGTGACAACACTGAAATATACACCGACAAAATATTACTGCTTTAAAGTTAACATTGCCTTTTCATTTTCTTTCGAAATACTTCGTTAAAAGTCTAATAATATTTAGACAAGACTATAAAGGATAATATGCATTTGATGTACAAATTCTTTTTGTCTTTGCCAACTCTATTTATCTATGTATGACCACAGATCTAATAATCCTAGTTTCCTCTTTGATGCAATTAAATTCGTTTAGACATTGAAAAGCGAATATCGATTTTCTATCTGACGTGACTTCAATAGGGTTAAAAAGTCTATTTTAGATATCTGTGGTAATAATGCGTTAATAGTAACTTAGTTATGCTTTTTTTCTATAGAATAAAATTATAATGAACTTCTTTAGTTAACTTGTCAGGTAAAACAAGTTATAATATTTATTGGCGCTAATTAAAAACGAGTATCGTAAGTTGTTTTGAATCTATAACTAGGCTAATAGGCTTTACCGGTTATTTCTAAGATAAGACAAACTGAAATAACGACCAACGTTCACCTCAAATTTGCATCGGCCGGGATATTTTAAGGGTCAGCCAATTTGCATGTTGCTGTTGCGAGCGCACAGGTATAGCTCTGGATATAAGCCAAAAGTTGAATAATCAAGCCCAGATTTTCCTAATAAATATATACAGCGATAGTTACGTCAACCTTTTTGGCAATGCTGGTCGATTTAACGGAACCACGTTTCCACGAATATGCATAATAGCTTGCATTAACTGAGGCATTTGGCAAGCGCACGGTGCAGATTGTTCCCAAACTAATTATAGAAATGCAAACATAATGCTTCTCAAATTTAAAGAACTATATTTAGGACGGATTGTTTGGTCTAATGCTTAAACTATTAACTTCCTTTACGTACGAAAATTCCTAGAATTCATACGACACTAATATTATTTAATCTTACTATTATTATAAATGCGAATGTTTTGATGGATGTTTGTTTGAAGGTATCTCCAAAACGGCATTATGGATCTTTCTATTTGTCATAGATGTAGAACATAGTCTGGAAGAACACATATGCTACTAATTAAGTTTTTTTTGCAACGCTGACGGAGTCGCGAGCGACAGCTAGTTGTCAGATAGAGAAGACAAATTAGTAGACTTTTTTACTGGCATATCTATGAAAGTCATTATATCACATCTACAAACAAATCCTGAATTAGTAAATGATTAATATGTTTGCAATGTTTATAAAACAAAAAATCAAAAACGAAAGCATGAACTCAGAAATAAAATTCTTGTACATAACTACAATGAAAAATGATTTTAATATTTACATTTCAGAAGCTATGTGGTTCTGTTTGAAAGAACGATCAAAGGTGGAAATAAATGACAAAAGGCATGTTACAAACAGACAGACGGAAGTCGATATCCGTCACTGCTGTACAATGTTGCCTCGGAATCTGTCTGCCGGTGTCAAGTTTCCACCGCAATGTATCTATTTAAATACACATACGATTATAAATATTCATGAAATGACGTAAAGAATCAATTAATAGCAAACAACAAACACGCATGTAATTTTACCTACTTCAAGTTTTTCAATTATTCCAGTACTTAAGAACAGTAAATTTCAATTAATTTATTATTATAACTATTTATACTAACGACTAGCTGGCAACCCCAACTTCGTTCGCGCGGAATCAAAAAAACCTTAATTAGTAGCCTATGTTTTTAAAAGACTATGTTATTTATCAATGTCAAATTTTAGCGAGATCCATGCAACCGTTATAAAGATACCTTCAAACAAACATCTATTCATCTATCCAAACATTCACATTTAATATATTGGTAAGGTTACAATAATTTATATTATGAATTAATTTCAAAATGCATAACCAAGTAAGATTCATCATCATTAGCTCACTATACGTCCCCAGCGAAGGGCACGGAGCCTACCCTAAGTTAGGGGTGACTAGGCCATAGTCAACCACGCTGGCACACCAGTCAATTTCTTCTCAGATATGTGCAGGTTGCATCACGATGTTTTCCTTCACCGTAAGAATGTCGGATAAATGTACATATGTTAATCGGAAATCGAAAAACAGATTGGTACATGGCGGAATTAGACCTGCAGATTACAAGTCAAGTGCTTATCTCCTGAGCCACCGACGCTCTTAACTAAGTAAGATTAACAAAAAATTTATTGAAAAACGTAAAATAATTCTTACAAAGAAAACAGGTTGTACCACCTATAATTTATATACTGTAATCAGTTACCTCAGAACTCTGACATAGAATTACGTATAAATAGAAAAAAAGCAGGACGTAGTTCAGTGTATAGTAGCGTAAAATAAAAATACTACCATAAAAACTCGATAATGATATATTTTCAAAGGACTCTCACTTAAGCGAGCTATTCGCGTTTATTCATGCTACTTGATTCACTTATTCGAGTTTGTGCGAGATAAGAAGTAGGGGAACCATTCACATGCGTGCACCCCGAAGCGTATCCGCTATACGTTGCCTGCATCGTAATAAGCCACTGACCACTGATGCCAATATAGATGCAAGCTTTTTATACGCAAACTTATTAAAATAGAACATTGAATATTAAATATCAAGCACTAGCTGTCGCCCGCGATTCTGTCCGCGTGGAATGTAAAAAAAAATAATTAGTTCCTACCAATTATACGAATTTATCCCTAGACCATCACGAACATTTCAAGAACAAGGTAAGATAAATCCCTTCAGCAGTTCTCGAGTTTTAACGAGACTAACGAACAGCAATTGATTTTTATATATTATATATAGAATATAGATTATTGCTGATTAAAGCGCCAATAACATGAAGGTAAGGTCGACGAAAAACAAAAGCAATTTGACTTTGGAATTTTCTAGATTTAGCGACATTTGTAAACAGATTTAACGAAGAATTTTGTTAGTCATTGCAAGCTTAATTTTGTGATAAGAGATGGCTTATTGCGGATTTACCGCTTTATTTTGCGCTATCAGTAAACTAACTTTTTGAAATTTTCCATAAGTTATTGTTAATGTCAAAAAGTAAGTTTGTTTCTCTTGCTTTAATGCTAGAGACGGCCAGTTACTTTGAAAATTACGAAAATATTCCTCAGGGCCTACGTTTTATTCCAAAATCACTGCAAGATAAGGGCTTATCATATTTATAAACAGTAAATATTGCTCAAAATTTGAATCATATTACAATTGAATTGCCGCGTAAGCTTGCAGCTACCCATGCGATACAGGATCCTCTTTTTTGTCCAATGCTTGCATACTTATTCATAGCCGGTTGGTAGATTGGAACGTTACTCGGAATTAATCAACCTTCGTGGAGGTTTTTGTAAAATAAACGTCCGAGACGGGAGGGCGGCGCCGCTGTCGCGTGGACGACTGCGTGCGACACTCACTAAAGCCGATGTGCGCGCGCGCAGCGTTGCAATCTTTTTACCATTACTTAGGTACTACTGAATTCATGTGATATTTTTATTGCAATCTTGTGAGCATAAATTAAATTTTTACCACAAGATAAGATGCATTACATTTTAGTTTTCAATTTAGAATTATTAGTGGTTAACACCTACTACTATCACATTTGAAATCAAACAGGTAAATAACTACCTTTTAAACACGTTTCTCTAGTTAAAATCTAGACACACATTTAAATAATAAGCACACGCAATAGATGTAGAAAATCTTAATGTGAAACATTCTCATGTATATTAACACAATTTAGTTAAATAAAATTTGCCAAATCAATTCTAACCAGATTAAAGGATGTCTAACCAAAGATTAGTTTGAGAAAAAGCATCGGGATTGTAAGATAATTTAAAGGATGACTAAAAGACTTAGTTTACTTGTAACATTATAAGGATATTTGTTACATTGTATATTAGTTGCTAGGCGAGGTTTAGCGTCGGGGAACAGCCGTTTGGCGCGTTGTTACCAACCAGACAGTTGTATGTAGCCATTACCATGTCGGCATGACATTATAATTAATAATCAAGTTTGTAAAGACCGCATTAGTAAACGTTGACGATGAAATTATTATTTAAACTTAAAGCAAGCTTTAGTTCACGCCTTCATAATTTGTACTTTGAAATGTTTTCGATCTAAATTAATTAAAGCCGTGATTTAATTACATGTTTCGATATAAAGAAAATTATCGACAATTGAAACTTATTAAATACTAGCTGTTGCCCGCGACTTCCTCCGCAAAACTAAATACTTAAAAAATTAAATCAATAGTAACCTATGTGTCCTTTCAGACTTTGTTCTACATATATGCCAATTTTCAGCAAGCTACATCCCGCTATTTTGGAGTTACTTTCTAACAAATATCCATCCATCCATCCAATCATTCGCATTTATAATATTAGTAAGATAGTAAGATTTACAGATCCAATTGTCACTGTTGAATGCTCTCATCAAATACAAAGATTATAAAATGATATTGTAACTTTAAAAAGTAAAAAATTTATTCTTAAAATCTGGTTTATCAAGGCTATAATAATGACAAATTAAGAAAGATTTAATAATCATGGCCAGTTATAAAAATTTTACAAAGTTAATATTCAAATATTGTGAGCAGATAATTAATACTATTGTTAATCCGTTGATTGCTTGTCAATATTACGATAGAATTCTGCAGAATAATATTAGGTTATCGATTCAATTCTTCACGCTTTTCGTTAAGCTTCACGGATTACATTATTCAATTACTGGCAATCTCTTAATTACCAAATATTTTTCAGCACACATGAACTGTGTATTGCAGTGTTCTCTTTTGCGATGTAGTTATACACATCAACTTCCTACTGAAGGAATCGGAGCCCTGTCAGGGTTCACTAGACAACTACGCTGGTCCAGAGCGGGTTGACTTCACACACTATAAATTTCATCGTAGATATATGAATGTTGCATCATGATGTTTTCTGTCACCGTAAGAATATCGGCTGTACATATCTAAATCGAAAAACACAATGGTACATGGCTAGGTCCTGCCGATTAAAAGTCAAGTGCTTAACCCCTAAGTCATCGATACTTAGTGTGTTGGTTTGCCTTAAACTGATTCTTTTAATTTAGTTTGTTTTACCTTGACAGGGTCCGGGATAGTCGAGGGCGAGATGTTTAGCGGGGCGGCGGCAGGCGCGACGGCGCAGGCGGCATAGCGAGCGGTACGTGCGGCCGTCCGTGCCGCAGACGGGACCCGCCCGCCGGCACGCGGCCGCGCACACGCACCGCGCGCGTCCCCCGCGCACCGCACACCGCCGGCCCGCGCCGCATCTCACTCCAGAGCATGATTCTGTAAGCAATAACATTGATACTACTACGATATTACAATCAACATATGAAAATATATCTCTGCAGTAGTTTACAAAGAGCCTAAACGGTTTGACTGAAGTCCAACATTCTCATTCTCTACCATATTTTATTTATAAATTTTTCAAGTATAGCCCATACTTTGTCATTGAGAATTCATTTAATATGAAAGAAATGCGTGTAAATTACGGTTGTTTACTTTAAAAAATATTTTTTTTACATCTTAAGCACGAAATACACTTACGTTATCAGCCCGAATAACCGGATATTAAATTTATTGCTGTAAAAAAATTCTAGTGGCAAATAATGTAGACAAAAAATATTAGCCATTTTTTTTGTGTAGGCAGTTAAACCAGATCGACACTTCTGCTTTTTCTTATTTACATATGAGTGTTGTTTATGTGTAATATAATTCTTTACTCACACATAGATAAATATCCTGTCTATATTGAAATTAAATATATTGAATAAAGCACGACACCGAGAAATTACGAACTTGGTCAATTTATGATTGGATTAAACATTTTATAAACTGTCAGATAATTAGTGAAATGTACGCATTTTTACTAACAATTATTTAATTAATTTATTTTTAAGTTATTACTTCGAAACATTGTGGGGAACCTAACAGTATTAAGTTTAATTTGACTTTTTTTTATATCATAAGGTGGCAAACGAGCGTGCATAGACATAAGCAATTGCATATGCGTTGCCTATCTTTAATCGATGGAGGAAGGGATGCACTAAAGAAAATATTTTCCGTTCCCATGTATCCTCTACTTTAGAAAAACTTTCCAGAAAAACTACTTCCACTTCCGATTCTTTTGTTATAAGAGAAAGAAGTGGGGAAAGGGGACTAAAATAATCCTCCGGCACGCAAAGTAAAATTATCAATAGTTGAGATGCCTCTTTAGATGAGATTGAAAAAATGACGAAGTTCAAAATGTGACGGTGACATATTTAAATGCAAAACGATTAGAATCGACTATGATAGATGGTAAGGAGATTCAAGATAACTGCAGCCTCATGTATTATTTTAGTGTGGGCGGCTTGTTTAATTTATAAGGTTAATATTAATATTATACTATAATATATTTTGGTGGTTCCAGATTTCTCTGTGTCTGACATTTGGAATCACAATCACATTAAATCTATCGTAGACAATAATAGGAATGTGGTCAAAATTCTAAATCGCGCGTTCCTCAATCGACGTGTGTAAATAGTCCGATTTTGAAAAACGGTTGCATTTGTTTTTTATGTTGTTAAGTGGTCACTAAGTGCGACCATTAGTGTAGATTAAGTATGAGCAATTTACATATCAGCCGCTCTATTAAGACTATGTGTTCGTAATCATCATCTTCATTTTGTTTTAAGGTTTATTTCTAAACATATAAAATACAATTGTTTTCATCTTTATTAATAAGAAATAAAAATTATAACAAACATTAAATTATTCAAACTTTCGTGAGACATTATACTAAACTGATATATAAACACGGCTAAACACTCACGTATATTCGTCCGGTGGCGGCACCGACTAGTTTCGAGCCTATCGGGGGCCCTTCATCAGGATGAGTGGTACTGGTATTATTTCGCGTAGTGCCACCGGACGAATATACGTGAGTGTTTAGCCGTTTTTATATCAGTTTAGTATAACAAACATATCTAAACAAATTTTACCTTCACAAAGCTGTTATCACAACAGACATTTATATATCATCCGTTCCTTAACAAATCCATAGACAGTAATTTTTTTTTATATCATAAGGTGGCAAACGAGCTAGCGGTCACCTGAAATCGCTGAAAGCGACCGTTGCCCATAGACATACGCAATTGCATATGCGTTGCCTACCTTTAATCGACGGAGGAGAGGATGCACAGAAAGAAAATATTTCAGTAAATGACATAGTCAGTGACACGTATAAATATAATTTCTTATTTCCATTGAATTCGTCTATACGTTCAGTTGATGAACGTGTAATTCCGAAGTAGTCTGTGCGCCGTCGTATCACCTGTATTGTTAATGTAATCCGACCATCGACTTTCCGATTGAAGACGAGATTTTAATGAATATGAAATAAAGAGATTATCCGAAATATTTACTAATTCTACATACGGCTTTAGCAATATAAAGTACTAGCTGACGCCCGCGATTCCGATCTCGCAGTAAAAAACTAAATAAGTAGTCTATGTGTTCTAACAGACTATGTTCTTCATGTGTGCAAAATTTTATCAAAATCCGTTAAGCTGATCTGGAGATATCTTCAAACAAACATCTATCCATCTAATCTCTCCATTTATAATATTAGTAGGAAGTAAGATGAATAATAATTGAAAATATATTTAACTATTTTCTTAAACAAAAAAAGGAAATTTATCTAAGCTTTAAATAAACAAAAAAATAAAATTTAAAGAAGTATATAAAAATAATATTTTAACAGTCAAACCTGGATAAGCGATACAGGATAAGCAAGAAACTGGGGTTAGAGAGAAACTTCTATAAGCTAGACAAATATCATAATATCACAAGAATCATAAGGAGAAGAATGAGATCATCATCATCACCATCATCATCAGCTCACTATACATCCCCATCGAGGGGCTCGGAGCCTACGAACGCAGGATAGATGTACATATGTAAATCGGAAATCGAAAAACACATTGGTACATGGCGGGATTCGAACCCAGGACCTGCTGATTGCAAGTCAAGTTCTTGACCACTGAGCCACCGACGCTCATCAAGAGTCAGATACTATCTCATACTTCAAGGGAAATAAATTGTTATTGTCTCAACAAATTAGTGTTAAATCTTTGCAAGGTACACATGATGCACATAACAAGATGTTAGTTTCAGAGGGCACAAACATTCATCGAATGTATCTGTCTGTAGATATACTATGCCTTTTTCTAAAAAGCAAACTGTGAACGTATATTATGTGTGTCGTTAGTCACTCGCTCGCAACAATAGCGACGTCGTGAATGTATGAATGATGACGTATGAATGAATGAATGAGCCGACCACTTTAATACGGCGCCGCGTCCTATCGGCCGATGCACCGCCGCCCCATTTACAACAGAAGCAATACCAAATGATCGTCTATTGTCTCTTTTATCTATACAACCTATACATATTAATAAAATTGGTGTGTCTATATGTATAATAATATAAAAAAAACATATATGTACACATGATACGTCTACGGAGGAAACGAAAAACTTTTTTAATCTTTTTTTTTCCTTATCGGACATGTCAATCCCATAGTTCCTTTCCTTATAATTTAATAAACGAGCTGGCACAATCGTACCGCTGCGATTGAAGCCTGGTCGGACAAAATAGTAAGAATTAAGACAATATCATTGAAATTAACTATCAGTTCTGCGAACAGCAGCTCACGATCCCTAACCAATTTTTAAAATTTTTGTCTGTGTCTATCTGTCCGCAAGGCCAAGTTTGCTCCGGGTTATCTCTGGAACGGCTTTACCGATTTTTATGAGATTTTTTATTTAGACGGAAATGTAGCTGAGCTGATGCACGAGATAATATTATATGCTACTTATTAAATTCTGTGCAAACGAAATCGCGTGCGATCGATAGTATGTAATAAAAACAGTCTCTTCCCTACGTATACAGATGTACCACAATAAAGTTAATAAAAACCTGGGGATTCGCGTCCAATTTTAAGTAATAAACGTAACGACTTAAATGTTAGGGTTAAGATTCAATAAGTTTTATGCAAATCATAACCACTATGGAGTATAATCAGCTTGATATAAATAAAAAAATGTAGTTACACTCCGTTACCCATGCGAAGCTGGGGCGGACTGCTAGTATACACATTTATAGTTAGTTACGGCTGGACGTACTGACTGTTGATAGTTCTAACTATAATAATATTATATAAGAGGCGAAGATTAGATAAAGGATAAATTCTTACCATCGCATGCGGTGCAAGGCACGCCACCAGAGAGCGCCTTGTAGAAAAATATCTGTCCGCTGTCGAGGTCGCGCGGGCTCCAGGCGGCGGGCGCTCGCGCGGCGCCGGCGCAGCACTCCGCGCGGCCCACGCGTAGCGCCGCCACCGAGCTGCAGCGCCCACCACGCTCCATCCCCGACCAGCAGATCCCGGCTGCACAAAACACAAACATTAATCTCTTAGCTTAAATACAGTCAAAGAATTAAATTCCCCCACTTTGTATCGTATATCGGATACTAAGTTATTTAAACAATATATACAACTCGGAGAAACACCAAATGAAGATTGAATAGAACTGTGGTCAATTATTGGCTACATAAAAGAAGATAATATATTTATCAAAAAATATACATGTTTACAAAATGACTAAAAACATCTACCATTCACGTGTATAACCACTGAGTAAGTAAACTTAGAAAAATCTTGCAGAGTTAATATCTTGACCACGAAGCAGACAAGTGTGTTACTAATAATATCTGGGAATTGTAGAAATAATGACTAAGTGTAATTCGAACTCGAGACCTAAGTTACGGCGGGCTCTAATCGCTGCGCCCGCGGCGGTCACGCGGGAGAAATGCTGAGAACTTTGATATATGTATCTATAAATGATAAGTGCTAGTAGCAACGTCAAGACCAATCAACTCAAATCAACTATGTAGAATAAAGAAATCAACAACTGCGACAAAGTTAAAAAGCACTAAGGATCTCCCTTAATGTAGAGTTTGAGATTACTATACTATGACACTAATTCACTGCTGTTTTAATTGCTCCTCGGCGATTCGCATTTGTTTATTGACTATCTGTTGCCCGCGACTCCGTTCGCGAGAAATTAAAACAAAAACAAATTTAATTAGTGCCCTATGTGTTCTTTCAGGCTATGTTTTACATCTATGCCAAATTTCATCGAGATTCATTGAGCCGTTCTGGAGATACCTTCTAGAAAACATCTATCCATCTAAACTTTTGCATTTATTATAGTAAGATAACAATAGACCAAAATGTCCGCATCCATTTGTATGGATGTAGACATTTTAGTACTTACTACTAGCCATTATCTGCGTAGTTTCGTAATGTGAAATTTCCGTAAACAAAGCAACAGTCACTTGTCCTTGTTCTCCTTGGGAACTGGTATGCATTACCGTCGGATATGTCTGGCCAATGTATATTTTATCAATGAATGAACCAGACAAATTACTATTTAAAAAAGGTATCAACCTATATTTACTACTAGATGGCGATTAAAGGCAAAACATCTGCAAATGTAGATATCTATGAGGCAACGGTGACTTCGCTATATTGGCTAATTCAAGAGATCGCTTGTCCGTTTGTCACTTTTTGCAGTTTAAAAAATTACTACATGAAAAAACCATTTATTGATATAGAAACTGCACTAAAAACCTAATAACGTAATCAATAACTTGTTACATAGAAAGTCTAATTTAACACGCATGATGACAAATAGTATTTCTTTCCTGAAAACACGATTTAAATTTTATATACCTTCATATTTGTAATTTGCACTCTACTTATAATCGAGTTTTTTATTTATTTATTTTTTTATTATTTATTAGACAGCGGAAAACATCTATCACAATCCCGGATATGATATAAAAGGCTCCCTGAATTACGCTACACGTGGAGACATTAGTTATGCAAAAAAACCAGTTGCGTTAAAAATATTTCGTTTATCCAACGACTCATAAATTCTTTAATTCTTAATAAAAATATCTTAGAATAGAATTTGATAAATGTTTTATGATGATCAAATAAAGAGTTAAAAAGTATAGTATCACAAATATAATTTGACCCGGTAAATCTGACAGAAAATATGAAAAACCTTCTGAAAATATGAAAAACCTCTGATAACACACAAGATATTTCGACTACTTTAGTTAATTTTTTGGTAGACCAGAGAAGTTTGTCGTACTATACATGTTATGTAATGTAATAGAAGAAATAAATTAACGTTTGTTCAACATGAAAGAAAATAATAAATTAACTTTTTGTGGTCTTATAAAATTGTATGACATATCACAATTACTGCAATATAACTGCAAGATGTGCATTTAGTTTACTCTGCAACAAAGCATTCTGTTGTAAGGAAATGAATCTTTTAATGACGTAGTAACAAATACCGGTTCCTTACAAAAAAATGTTCAAAAGCCGGACTGAATTATTTGTTAATGCGGTAACGGCTTTTTACCATTTCTTTCGGACTACATAACTTTTATTTATAAAAATGTATTAAAAGCGTTGTTACGATATAAGACTTATCAACATTTTCTTTTACTTTATTTAATGGTGGAAAAATAAGAGATGGTCATATAGAGTCGTAAAACTATTATAATCGATAACATTGAAAACGGCTTAAGAGCATTGGGATAGGTATGTGGCAATATATTTGTATTTTTATTCATATTTGATAATAAAATAAAACCGCGTGCGCAGCGAAAGCACTTAGACTTTCTGCGATGATAAAAGTACATACAATCGACGTTTCAAACTGAGCATATTAAAGGCAGATGGCTCGATAGCGTCGGATCGAGGGCCGCCGCCGCTCGCAGCCGGCCGGATTCCGAGAGCCGAGCCGAGAGGTGAGTCACGGCGCGCTAGACGCTCCACAGACACTATGCACGCCGCGCCCGCGCCGGCGCACCCGACCCCCTCCCCCCTTGTCCCTCCCCACACACACACCACACAGCCCTACAAGGAAATCCGATCGAATGTACAACACGCGCCTTTTATTTTCACCATGTGCTCTCCTCATTGACTTACAATCTCCTCAGACTGTCTCAAAGTTTAGACGTTGCAATCGACCGATGAAATAACATCGTATTTTTATTACGACCAAAAACCGTTTTAAAAGTATCTCTGGCAAATCAAATAAATTGTCGGATGGAAAAAAAAATGTTTACGACATTTTTATTATTGTTACATGCGAACGTATAATCCACCGCGCGAGTAAACATCAGCAGGTATAAATTTAAAAGAATGATAAGTGTTTTGTATTGGAATAGACCATTCGCCTAACAGCTTTATTTTCGGTTAGAGGACAGACGCGTACGACGATTCAAATAGATTTTTTTTACATTCAGTCATCGATCATGAGGGCACGTGTGCGTTACATTACGTTGTTAAAGTACACGTATCGGTGATCGCCGGTAAAAATGCAAATGAAACAGAATAATGATTTTTGCGGCGGATTGCGGCGTCGAGCGGCCGTTGACTCGCGGCCGGACGTGGCGCGTATCTTATCTTTATAAATAATTATAATCGGAGGCCGTCAGATCTGTCAGTTTTGGCGCCACTATTTGGCGAACGCGGATCCGGGCACTAGCGAATGGCATTGCCAACTCTCCAAAGTTATTTCCGTGGGTGGCTTCAACGTTGTGCATTTTTACAAGGAAATCGGCTTTGAATTCTAGAGCAAAATATTGTTCAACTGGCGCTCCATTTATATGACGATTGTTATAAATTGTAAACGATTGTAGGCGTCAAGAATATGGCGCCGAGCGCAATAACTTGTGTAATATCGATTGCCCCGACACAAGGCATATTGACCTGCACTTATGTACATTTGTTTAAAATTAGTTTAAATTGCTTTATAGAAACTTACTTACATATATTCTATCATTGAACGTATAGAGCTGTTAAGATTTACATTAAATAAAAATCATAACAAAATAAATATTATTATTTTCTTATTAAAAGTTTCTATGTTTGTTACTGAGTACTATACGTTCAAACGCTTAAGCTTATGCGACATATTTTCCATTAATGCAATGAAGGATTAAAACCTGCGAAATTAGATTTCACAATCAGTTTTCCAAACCATTATTCTATTAGTATTCAGTTGGAATTCATTGTAAACATCGTCTGGCATGAAGACGCAAAAACTAAAAGACAGTAAATCATCGGAGCGGCGTAGTAACGAACATTGTGTCCGGAACAAACATTTGGCGGCGAAAACATTTTCAGGTATTTTTATTACTTACAAAAAGTCACACTGCGCTAGCGCCTCGGTTGTTGACTTTTTTTTACATTTTCTATTTCGCGATTAAAGATCTGAAGATTTATTCGTTTTGTATAAAAGGTAATATATGTTTGCAATAAAAAGTATTTTGGAAAGTAGACTTTTATTAAAATGCTATTATAGAAAAAAAGATAAAATACGTAAATTTTCTCATAAGCCAACGACCAAAGAGTTTCTCCGAATCTAACATTTTAGTTGTTTACTTTAATCATCAATAAATTAAAAAGAAACACAAGTAAAAGAATTACCCTGTTTAAAAAACAAAAACATTTTCTTCCAAATAATAAATTCGGTGTTTCTAATCTACAATAAACAACTAAAAAATAAAAATAGCAAGATTAATTCGTTAGTATGAAAAGGGTCAACTACAATTTGTCAATTTGTAAACACGAGAACTAAAAATAATATAATATAGCTTATTAATAGTCTAAGAACTATCGGTAAGGCCTTTCACCTATCGGATAAATTCCGACTTAACTCACTCTGATACATCTGAACTATTGCAAGCTTGTAAAAAAAACAAAATAAAATATATGTATTATATAATGGTTTAGAAACTTCCTAATGAACGAAACAGTTGTTCGGCCGATCTCTTCGGCGGTAACAATCGTTGAACATGCCTGAACAGTCGTCAATTTAATTTGCAATGTAAATGAGTCGCTCTATTGTTCGAGTGTACAACAGATTAGCGAATATATTCGAAGCGATCGAGAAAAACAAACAAGTCGTCACATCGCCGGGACGCAAATAGACTCGTGGCCACTTAATTCATGTCACCCACTCTCGATATTTGTGACTATATGAATGACACTAGAATAGACATCGCTTCTAGTACGTCGCTGTTAATTATATCCACCGCTTGTTTTGATCCGTGACAGTTTATCTCACGCGACGCTTTACACTGGAAGTGATTATCAAATATAGCTTAAATCGTCTATACGAGTTGAATACTTTTCATACTAAAATCCATCGCATTATACTTTATACTGTGTCCTGGAAGTGTCTTTAACATAATTCAAACATATACTTTCTCAGCTCCGTACGTTGTATATTTGTCAATAGATTGTAGTTACAATTACTAAATCCATTTAAATTGTTTCTAGACGAGCCGACTCTAGAC